TTGTCATAAAGAAATGACAAAATAGACGAGTCAAATTTCTGACTCATAAATTATTTTATATTTGACAATTAGGGTTTTTCGGTCATGCTTGATATTTGAGAGTTTTGGGTTGGCGTGACACATTAAATACCGCACACAACGTATTGTGTGTGGTCATGGTTAATATGCCACTACACCCTCAACCTTTAAGAAAAAATTTTATTTTTGAATATTGAACAATATGAAAATAGGAAAATTTTTTAAAATATTTGTTTATGTATTTATATTTTTGAATTGACCATGACCATAAGTAGTAATATACTAATTTCAGTTATCTTATCTGTGTGTATAAATTTTTTTTTTTTTTTTTAAATATATATATATCATAAGTGTTGTAAAATTAGACAAATTGTAATTTAGTTTTATTTTCTATATGAAATAAAAAAAAAATATATATAAATTTGAAATATATAATTATGTTTATATAAAATATTGACATTGTATTGATAATAATGTGTTATCTTAATCTATATTTTAATTAGTATCTATATAGCTTGAATTGAGTAATTTGTGTAGATTGCATAATTTGTTTAAAGATGTTTAAAATGTTTAGCAAATATATTTTTATTCTCTTTTAAATAATTTTGTATTATTTTTGTGTAGTGTTTGTTTCATTACCAATGCTTATTATGACATTACTGCCTTCTATATTTATTACTTTATATGGACCTGTATACGGGCTTGTACCTTTTCGCTTATTTTGTGACTTAATTAACACTTCGTCACCTATTTTCAATTTAATCGGCCAACTATTTTTCTTAGATATTTCTTTTCTTTTTGTTTTAGCTTCTATGCTAAATTTTCTTGCTTGTTCAATTGATAACCTAAGTCGTACTTTTAACTTATTTGCATAATCATCTAAGTTGAATATTCCCTATTTATTTTCTATATTTTCATTAGGTAATGCTGGTAGTTTACCAAATACTAATTCATGGGGGGTATAACCCGTCTCAACGTGTGGAGCAGTATTATAGGTGAATGTATATTAAGGTAACCATTCGTCCCAGTCGTCATCATTAGCAAAGTTTAGCAAATATTCGTTAAGTACCCTATGGTTTCTTTCTATTGTTCCTACCGTTTCATGGTGGTATGGAGTTGAAAAAATTTGTTTTATTCCTAAAATTTCTGTAACTTTAGCTAGCAATTCATTTACAAATTCTGTTCCTCTATCAGATTTTAAAATCTTAAAGGAGCCGAATTTCAGTATGAGTTGTTCTACTAAAGTTTTAGCTATTGTTTTGGCTTCTTTGTTTATGATTGGATATGCAATTATGAATCGACTTAATTCACATTGCATTGTTAATATATATCTGTAACCATTGGATGGTCGTAATGGTCCAACAGTATCGATTTCTACTGTTTCGAAGGTTGTACTCGGAGTTGAAGTAATTTGAAATTCCTCATGGTTTTGTCGGATTTGTTTGTTCCTTTGACATTTTTCACAAGTTACATAGTTATGAACCATCTGTTTCATCTTTTTCCATGTGTATTTTTGCTTCAGTTTGATATAAGTTTTGCGAACTCCTAAATGTCCGCTATGAGGATTGTCACGATATTCCTCAATTAATCTGAATCTTGTCATGATGTCAGCTATGTTTACTGGTTTCTTGTATAACAATATTTTTAATCTATGTTGACTTTTACTTTTCATTTCACGTTGCAACTTATTAAACATTTCTTTAAATTTGTTTTTATCCATGGATGTAATTATTATATCTTCATCGCTTAGCGCTAGCATTGTTATTTTTATTTTTTCTAGTTCGGAAATCAGCTTCACCATAATCGAAATCGGCTTTGGAGGTATTTCGCGTAATTCCACAGTGACTTTTTTGTCATCGTATCTTATGAATTCATCTTTATCTTTACTTATAATTTTAAACTGCAGTGTTTTCATACCTTGAATATCACTAATAGAAGTGCAATCCCAACAATAGAGTTGATCAGGCTCAATCGGTTTTGCCTCTTTTTGTGTATTCATATTGGTAGTCTTATTGGCAGAGCTATCATTGGCTGCTGCGACGCGCGCTTTACTTCTAGTCGTTATACATATTTTAGCTTTTTCTTTTACATGACATATAGTTTCTTCGTCTTCATCCGAATTATTCAATTTTCGGCTGGACATCTTGTCTTCGGTTGTAGGTATCAAATTCCTTAAAATGTTACTGTCTATTCTAATTCTAGACAGGGCATCAGCATTAATGTTAATTTTTCCTTTTTTATATATTATTTCAAAATCATAATCTGATAAATCGAACCGAATCCTTGTCATTTTTGAAGAAGGGTTCTTGTGGACAAATAATGAAATCAAGGGTCTGTGGTCAGTAACAACGTAAAAGTGTTTGCCATACCCGTATGGTCTGAAATAGTTTATTGCCCAATGTATTGCAAGTAGTTCCTTTTCAATGACTGGTTTATTTAAGTCATATTTTTATAAGGCTTTGCTTGCATAGCAAATTGGCAAATCTGAACCTATGTTGCCTTGAGAAAGAACTGCACCAAGTGCATAGTCAGAAGCATCCGTTGTTATTATGAATGGTTTATTGAAATCTGGGTAAAGAAAGAACTGCACCAAGTGCATAGTCAGAAGCATCCGTTGTTATTATGAATGGTTTATTGAAATCTGGGTAAAGAAAGAACTGCACCAAGTGCATAGTCAGAAGCATCCGTTGTTATTATGAATGGTTTATTGAAATCTGGGTATTTTAATATTGGTGGACTCATCAAAATTGATTTGAGATTTTCGAATGCTATATCGCATTCAGCCTTCCAAATAAATTTTTGATTCTTTTTTAACAACGTATTCAGGGGTTTTGCTATTGACGCAAAATCTTTGATAAAACGTCTGTAATAATTACAGAAAGCAATATATCTCCTAACTTCATCTACAGTCGTAGGTTTAGGATAATCTTGAATGACTTTGTATTTGGCTGGATCTGTTTTAACGCCATGTTCAGTGATTAAATGACCTAAATATGTAACTTCGTGTTTCAGAAAGTTCCATTTTTCAGGATTTAGTTTTAAATTGTAATCACTTAATTTCTTGAAAACTTTTTCTAGATTGTTATTGTGATGTTTTAGTCTGTTGCCGAAAACAATAATATCATCGACATACAAAAATGCTTCATTTTCAAGGCCTGTTAACGCTAGCGTTAGCATGCGTTGAAAACTATTCGAACTTATTTTAAGACCAAAAGGTAGTCTTTTAAGTTCGTAGTGACCATTGACGGTCGAAAATGCGGTCTTTTGCATTGATACTTTATCTATTGGAATTTGGTGGAATGAGCTGGTCATATCCAAAGTTGAAAAATATCTTGCTTTTCCAAGACGTCTTCTAGACGTGTCAGAGGGAATTTGTCATTCACAATTTTGATGTTAAGTTTCCTATAATCAATTACGAGTCTCCATTTCTTTTCATCATCTGACGATTTCTTCGGTACCAGTAAAATTGGTGAATTGTAGGGACTCTTGGAGGGTTGTATGATATCATCATCAAGTAATTTTTGAACTTGTGATTTAATAACATCATTATGACTTTGAGGTAATCTGTAATTTTTTATGTATGTTGGAACATCGTCTGCAGTAGAAATATGTTCTGTGTCGAAATTGCGGCAGGATATTTGTTCTCCTTCCATTAAAAATATGTGTTGGTATTTAGTTATCAATGATACCAGTGTCTCATCATCACATTTCTTGTATTGGGTTCCTAACTGTAATTTGTTTAAAAGGTTTTGTAAACGCAGTTTGTCAAATTTATTACAAGAGTTTTTATTAATTTTGTAATAATTGTTTAGTGGGCGGGTTTCAAATTTTAGTATATTAAGGGTATTAAGGGTACACATGTTCTATTTGAGTTGTAGTTTAAATTGAATTTGTTTCTAATTATTGACACATCTGCTCCTGTGTCGATTAATAATTTAATGTAAGTGTTAATGTTGTTACATTGAACTTCTATATAGTTAGATACGTTAGGGTTAAATGAGTAGATATTTTTATTCAATTTACCAGAGGTGAATTCTATTGGTTTCCCTCTGGTGGGTTGTAGTTTTCCTGTGCTGATGTTAAACGAATTCTCCTTTCGTTCCCAACATTGTTTCTGTTGCTGTTTCTATTGGAGTTATATGTTTGTCTTTGGTTATAGGTGTTGTTCTGGTTATTTTGGCCATTATATCGGTTTCTGTTATTATTGTTATATCGTTGATTTCTTTGACCTGCACTGTTATTATTATTGTATTGATTTCTATTATTTGAATTACTATATTTATTGTTATTTTGGTTTCTTTGACCACTGTTACTATATTGATTTCTGTTATTTGGGCGAAAATTATTGTTATTTTGCCGATTAATATTTCTATTTTTATAATGAGTATTACCTCGGTAATACAAAAATTCCGTAAAAATCAAACTTTCAGCGACTTCTCTCGCTTCTTGGAAAGTTTTTGGTTGTGCCATTTGTACTGCTTGCAAGTACGTTGGATTTAGAACTTTTTTATACGCCAGTAATGCGTTCTCATCATTTGTGGCTAACATCCCCTCTGCTTGTGGAGAAGTTGCGCTGTAATTTCTCTTTAATAAGGATGACGTATTCAGATCTGATAATAGCTTGGCCATTTTATCACTGTATTCTGTGATTGGTTGGTTGTGGCCTTGCCTGGTTTCGTTAATTTTTTGTAAGACCATTGGTACTGTGTCTTTAGGAATGTAAGTTGACTTGAGTTTTTCTACCAACTGATCCAAGGAATCTGGAAAACCTATTGGAGAAACTCGTATCTTTACATTATGGTTTAGTTTACAATCTACAATGTGCTCTTAAAATTCCTGTTTGTCTCCATCTCTAATCTTTTGGTCGTAGAATTGTAATCTCCTTAAAAAAGAATTTAATTCTTCTTGTTTTCCCGTGAATATGGGCAGTAGCTTTTCTACGTGTTGGCAACTCTGCCAAGATGAGCATTACATGAAAAATATATGTACACAAAAAAAAAATGAATCCACAAGAATTCAAGTTATTTTTCCAAGAAATGCAAAACCAACGTGCGAAAGACACGGAAGCAATGCGTGAACTTTTCAAGGAGTGTTTGCAAATGAAAATGCATACTGAAGCAGTTCCGAAAACAGAAAATCCGGAGCAAACAATGGAGATTTTAGCATCGAGTCTAACGGAATTTGTTTATGATCCAGAAAATAACTTAACATTTGAAACGTGGTATACGAGGTATGAAGATTTGTTCTTAGTAGATGGTAGCAAACTTGATGACGCAGCGAAGGTCAGGCTTCTATTAAGGAAACTCAGTACAACTGTGCATAATAAATATATGGACTTTATTTTGCCTAAGCATCCACGTGAATATAATTTCACTACAACAGTGGAGAAATTAAAACAACTGTTTGGACTCCAAAAGTCACAATTCAGCTTACGCTATAGCTGCTTACAGTTAACCAAATCACCAGATACCGACTATACTACGTACGCAGCCGAGGTTAATAAACAATGTGAAAATTTTAAATTAAATAGCCTGTCACTGGACCAGTTCAAATGTTTAATGTTCGTATTGGGGCTGAAATCGGAAGCAGACTTCGAAATAAGAACCCGAATATTGACCAAACTGGACACAGAAGCTGATACCATCAACTTGGAAAAACTTACAAACGAGTGTCAGCGTATTATTAATTTAAAATCCGACACAGCGCTGGTAGAAAATAAATCACGCGAAAATCAGGTGAATCGAGTACAAGCAAATAAGCTTAAGAACAATCACAAACCGAAAACACCATGCTGGTTTTGTGGAGCAATGCATTATGTGCGTGACTGCCCATACAAAAATTATAAATGCGAAGACTGTCACAACATAGGCCATAAAAAAGGTTCTTGCAAAGCGAAAAATTTATCAAAATCAAAATGCAATAGCAACAACAAAAATAATAGCAATGGTAAAGCAAAAACATTTTCACAGCCACGATCCAACAGTATATACACAACGAACAGCATCACAGCTTCACAGCGTAAATATGTCCACGTTAAAATCAACAATGTGCGAATCAAATTGCAATTTGATACTGCATCGGACATAACTATCATTTCAAAATTTAATTTCGACAAATTAAATATTTTAAATACAATGGAAGTACAACCAGAATCTGCTAAAAGTGCAACTGGAAACTTACCATTGTACGCAAAATTTACATGTGATGTGCAGTTAAAAGACACAATTAGAACACTTACGTACTTCGTTACAACGATCGATTTGAACGTATTCGGATTGGACTGGATAACTGCTTTTCAACTTAGCGATATGACGCTTAATGCTATTTGCAGCCAAATTTCAACAACAAAACAGGCAAGTAATGTTTCAATAAAGTCGTCAAATTGCAAATTTCTTCCGGAAAAATTATTTCCAGAACTTTTCGATAATGCTATGGGTCTTTGTAATAAAACTAAGGCACATTTAATTATTAAACCAAACTGTCAACCTGTTTTTCGACCTAAGCGCCCGGTAGCATACGCAGTTCAACATTTGGTTGAAGAAGAAATCAAGCGACTTCAAGATCTCGACATTATTGCACCCATCAATTACTCTGACTGGGCCGCACCAATCGTAGTTATCAAAAAGCCAAATGGTAGCATTCGTATTTGCGCTGATTTCTCAACTGGTCTTAACGACGCGCTTGAATCTTACAAGTATCCACTACCGCTTCCAGAGGATATTTTTGCAAAAATTAGCAATGCAACAGTATTTAGTCATATAGACCTTTCGGACGCTTTTCTCCAAATCGAAGTTGATAGCAAATCGCAAGAACTTCTCACAATAAACACGCATCTAGGTTTATTCAAATACAAGCGTATGGTTTTTGGCGTAAAAACTTTTCCGGCAATTTTCCAACAAATTATGGATAAAATGCTTGCGGGCTTACATTGCGCAGCTGCTTACATTGACGATATCTTTGTCTCAGGTAGAAACCAACAAGAGCATGACAACAACTTACATGAAGTTCTACAACGTATTTATCAATACGGGTTTAAACTCAAGATCGCAAAATGCAATTTTTCAGTTCCTGAAATTGCTTACTTGGGATATATTGTCAGTAAAGACGGCATTCGCCCAGATCCAAAAAACATTGAAGCAATCAAGACAATGCCTGCGCCAACCAATCAATCCGAACTTAGATCACTCTTAGGTGCTATCAATTTTTATGGAAAATTCATAAATCACATGCGCAAATACCGAGGACCATTAGACGAACTACTTCAAAACAACAAGCAGTGGCAATGGACGGAACTTCATCAACGCTGTTTGGATGGTTTCAAGCAAATTTTGTCATCAGAGTTATTATTAGCGCATTACGATCCACTGAAAAACATAGTAGTCGCTGCAGATGCATCTAACTATGGGCTCGGATCAAGACAATGCCTGCGCCAACCAATCAATCCGAACTTAGATCACTCTTAGGTGCTATCAATTTTTATGGAAAATTCATAAATCACATGCGCAAATACCGAGGACCATTAGACGAACTACTTCAAAACAACAAGCAGTGGCAATGGACGGAACTTCATCAACGCTGTTTGGATGGTTTCAAGCAAATTTTGTCATCAGAGTTATTATTAGCGCATTACGATCCACTGAAAAACATAGTAGTCGCTGCAGATGCATCTAACTATGGGCTCGGAGCTTGCATTTTTCATGAAGCTGACGACGGTTCAATGAAAGTAATATGTCATGCGTCCAGATCACTAACGCCCACAGAAAAACAATATAGCCAAATAGAAAAAGAAGCTCTTGCGCTTATTTTCGCGGTTACGAAATTTCACAAAATGGTTTTTGGGAGAAGATTCAAACTTCAAACAGATCATAAGCCTCTTCTAGCTATATTTGGTGATAAAACGGGAATTAAGGTGCATCAAGCAAATAGACTTCAACGTTGGGCAATTAAACTGATTGCATACGACTTCGAATTAAAGTTTATTTCAACTAACAGTTTTGGGTATGCAGACGTTTTATCACGACTCATACATAACACAATCAATCCTTCAGAAGACTATGTCATCGCTGCAGTAGAGTTTGAAATTGAAAGTAAACAAATTTTACATAACTCACTTGATAAGCTGCCGCTTACCAGCAAAATAATTACTTACGAAACAGCTAAGGACAAGGTTTTAGCTAAAATTCTCGAATATGTAACGGAAGGATGGCCATCAAACTGCAACAACAGTGAGTTAAAAGCTTACTTTAACCGAAAAAACGACATATGTATAGTTGACGGATGTTTAATGTTCGGACAACGCATTATTATACCTCAAATTTTCCGAAAGCGCATTCTTAAAGAAATTCACCGAGGTCATCAAGGCATAGGTCGTACTAAAGCCATCGCGCGGTACTACGTTTATTGGTCAAATATCGATCACGATATTGAAGCAATGGTGAAAAGTTGTTCAAATTGTGCCGCAGCAGCTAAAATGCCCACAAAAACAACTTTACATCCTTGGCCAAAACCTTCTGATTCTTGGGAACGGCTCCATATTGATTATGCAGGACCAATAGATTCATACTACTATTTGGTCGTAATCGATGCGTTTTCAAAATGGCCAGAAATTATACAAACAAAATCTATAACAGCAACTCAAACAATTTCCAGCTTGAAAGAAATTTTCGCTAGATTTGGGTTACCGAAGACAATAGTTTCAGACAATGGTACTCAATTTGTGAGTCACCAATTTCAACAGTTTTTAGCGGAAAACGGCATTAGTCATATACGAAGCAGTCCGTATTATCCCATGTCAAATGGACAAGCCGAAAGGTTTGTGGATACTTTAAAGCGAGCACTCAAAAAGTTAAATGGGAAGGGGGTAACTGCTGAAAATCTTCAAACATTTCTACAAGTTTACCGATCAACTCCGAATAAGCAAAATGAGGACAGTAAATCGCCAGCTGAAGTTTTACTAAAAAGAAATATCCGTATTAAACTTGACTTGATTAAACCAACGCTGGTGTCTTTACCAGACCCAAATGCCAAGTTTAAAAACAAGTGCGATACACAACTCAAAATGAAAGCGCAATTTGACAAAAGGCACGGTACAAAGCCAAAGTTTTACGAAAAACAAGAGCTCGTTTATGTCAATATATTTAAAAACAAACACTTTGAATGGACAAAAGGAAAAATAATCGAACGCATAGGTAACGTCATTTATAATGTTCGCTTACAAAATGGCAAACTTATTCGTGCACATGCCAACCAAATTCGTGACCGTAAAGATCAAGAAAATGAGTTATCTTTAGAAATATGTACTTCCGAAGATATCGCCAACGAAAAGTGTTTAGTTGATGCATTTGGCCTCTACGAAACAACACCTCTCAAACTGAGAAGCACAATGAGGCAGTTGTTCCGTATACCCGACCAAGGCGTACTAGACATCCTATTGACCGTTATAGACCCTAGAATCACCGCATTGGAGATTTAATCTCAAAAGGGGAGGTGTTGGCAACTCTGCCAAGATGACAGTTGACAGATAAAGTAGAATTAACATTTTAATTCTGTCAGTTATTTTGAACTTGTGAAATAATAATAACTTGGAGTTTTTTGAATAATAAATATCTAAATTATACAGATATAACACTACGCTTTCAATTACTGCGTCGTATGTCGCCATTCTACTTGTTATATTTGTACTGTTGTTAATGTCGCTTAGTATGTGATTACTTTGGTTTGTAGTTTGCGTATTTTGCTCAGGTGTTGCCATAGTTAAAAGATACTTTCTTGCCTGTATATATTTTTCTAGGAAGACCTCTTTTAAGACGGAAACCTCTTCTAAATTTTTTGTTATATAAATTGACTCGACAAGAGTTTTTAGATAGTCTAATCTATCTAATTTGGTGGCTACAGTGGGTTTTGTATACCCTCTAATACTAGTCTTTTTAGCGTTTCTTAGAATATTCTGAGCCTCACTTATATACGCGGCAATTGCTTCCATAAATCAAGCAGAGAAGAGAAAAAAAAAATCAGTAAGACGATGGTAAGAGTGGTATATATTTAAAGGAATAACAATTGGTTATGAAACAAAATTCGCTTTAATTTATTTAGTTTATAAGTTCAGTATTTTTACATAGTGTTAATATGTATTTATTGAAGAGAGAAAAAAAAAAAATTTTATATATATATTTTAAAAAAAATTATATACTTTACATAGTACAAATTACAAATTCAAATTTTTTTTTTTGTATAATATTATTGAATTATATTGATCTTCAATTTGTTATATATTTATTATATATTAATATTTTTTTTTTTTTACATAACACAATATAGTAATAATGTTGATAAAGAAATAATATAATAGTAATAGTTAATAGTTATTAATATTTATACATTGTTTAAATTTAAAGAAGTATGTATATGTTTGTGTACATATTTTTTTATGTAATTATTTATTTTATAGGCAATGTAAAATATTATAAATACAATAATTAAGGTTATTATCACTACCTCTATATTTCCATTTGTGGGGTTTGTTGCACGATTCAGCATATTATTGGTAATTTCTGTCTTCTGTTGGAGGTTCCGCACTTTAAATGTTCTGTCTATAGATGTAATTTTCTATTTTTTTTTTTTGTTTTATAGATTATGATTTTTGTCGTATTGTGTTGCTTCACAATATTATAGTTTAGTCAAATTTTCATGTAATTGTGTTTTTATTTAGTGAATATTTATATTTACATTGTTTTACTTCACAATATCTATAAGTATATTTCAATTTACAATAATAATCAATTTTAGTTTAACTTTTCACTGTATACTTTTATTTAGTTCAGTACATTTTAATTTTATGTTATTTTTAAATTTTTGTTTATGACTTCACAATATACTTTACATTTAGTTCAGTATATCTTAATTTTATATTACTTTTAAATTTTAGTTCATCACTTCACAATATACTTTTCATTTAGTTCAGTACATTTCAATTTTATATTACTTTTAAAATTTAGTTTATCACTTCACAATATACTTTTCATTTAGTTCAGTACATTTTAATTTTATATTACTTTTAAATTTTAGTTTATCACTTCACAATATACTTTTCATTTAGTTCAGTACATTTTACTTTTATTTTAGAAATTCAAACTAGATAGATGTTCTGGTCCTTGCCAGATTGGCAGGATCGCCATGTAATAGTTTTAATGTTTACTTTTGTAATCGTATTATTTAAAAATCAAAGACATGTCGTTTTGAGTGTTCATTAGAGACTGATTTTATTAAATTTTTATTCTTAACTCTAACATAATTTCTTACAACTAACTTCCAATAGAATCTTATGTATCGATTCTATTGGTTGATACTTAAATTTACTTACGTCTAATTGGTTAACCCAAATTAAACGTATATAATGTTTTTATAGAAATAGCTTATATATATTTATTATTTAAATGGTCTTCTATTTCACAGTGGCACACATCTGGTAACCAACTGTATTGAGGGCAAATCATATTGCATGCATTATCGCTTGCAATATGATCTGTGAAATACTTAACACAAATTCATGTGTTGAGCATGCCACTATCCAAATTGTCAAATGCATATTGAAATAATTAAATATGCATACAAATATTTTGTCATAAAGAAATGACAAAATAGACGAGTCAAATTTCTGACTCATAAATTATTTTATATTTGACAATTAGGGTTTTTCGGTCATGCTTGATATTTGAGAGTTTTGGGTTGGCGTGACACATTAAATACCGCACACAACGTATTGTGTGTGGTCGTGGTTAATATGCCACTACAACATACTGCCTTTCAGCACAAACAATACTGTTCCGCCGTTTTCTTGGACGTAGCCCAAACTTTTAATAAGGTTTGGCACGAAGGTCTAATGTATAAAATAAAACATTATCTTCCTGAAAATATGCATAAGCTGTTGTTTTCATATATATCTTCCAGAAAATTTAGATTGAAATACAATACCTTTATTTCAAGAGAAGTCGACATAATCTACACAGCTGATCTCTCACTACTCTCAAATCACATACTTGCTACTTCCGCGGATGACACTGCAATTCTTAGTTCTAACAGTGACCACATAAGGGCGTCCCAAAGTCTCTCGACTCACTTAAGTCTATTGTAAAGTAAACGAAACGAAAAGTGTGCATGTCACGTTTACTCTGCGAAAAGAAACGTGCCCCCCTGTTAAGTTAAATAACATCATTATACCCCAGTCACATGATGTAAAATATCTTGGCATTCATCTTGATAGACTGCTGACTTGGACTAAACACATTGAAAGCAAAAAATCTCAAATTAAATTGAAATCACAGCAGCTCCATTGGCTTATTAATAAAAACTCTAAGCTAACTCTGGAAAATGAAGTCCTGGTATACAATTCAATCTTAAAACCTATCTGGTCCTATGGTATAGAACTCTGGACTACAGCATGTGCTTCTAATATCGAAAAAATACAGAGTTCAAAACAAATTACTTAGACAAATAACCGGTGCTTCGTGGTATCTCAAAAATGTACATATCCACAACGATCTTGGAATCCCAACTGTTACA